TGAATGTTCAACCCTAAGCCCTAAAGCCTTGATTGTATACTAAAAGAAGGTTTCCGAAAATAGGGGACCCTAATATAGTACCCTGAATAGTAGGATCCTTATTATAAGGACCCCCAAAATACGGTAACCCTTATTTTCGGAAACTCCCAAATGGTCCCAAGCTCTTGGACCGTATTTGACTTCCCAATCTAGCAAAAACGCCTTCCAGTAGAGAGGTTACAGACTATAGACCCACTCAACCAGAAGCTCGAATCCGCTTCGCCCAACTTTATCCTCAGACTCCACGGCTGGTGGTCCAACTTGGGCGATGAGCCTGCAGAGGCAGAGTAAGCAAGAGCTTGTTGAGTTGCGTTAAATGACGTGCATGCATATACATATACATATGCATATATACATACATGCCTACACATATTGCAAGGGCAAACAACTATCACGTGAATATAGCAGATACTGGTATATGTGTATGTATTTGTTCATATATTCAGTCATCATATGTATACCGGGTTCAGGCTTCAGGGAGCCAGAAGAGGAACAGTTTGTCGAGATTTGGGTTCAGGGTATTTCTTGGGTTTGGGGTTGGGGATTGGTTTCATTGCAGGTGTTTGGTTTTATGCACCGTGTTTTGATTGGAGCGTCTCTGGGGTGTTGAGGATGCAGGTGTTGGGTTCAAAGTGTTTGTTTTGCGGGGTCGTGGATCTCGTATGTGGCACGCTTTGGGGCGCTGTATTCGCGAGCTAGGGTATGTTTAAAACCTGTGGCAGGCTGGTATTCGGGATTTGGCAGTCTTAGGCTGATAGCGGCGAAACCCTCGCAATCGTTGTTTGTCTTCTTCGGTACATATGGGTGGTTGTCACAATTATGGTCCCTTTTCGGGTACCCTAAATATTACGTGCAGTACTATAATAAGGACCCAAAAAGGGACCCTAATTTTGACAACCACTCATATAGAAACTTTAAGATTGTGGCTTTCGGTTTAGGGCTCAGGGTGTGTCAAGCACAGGTTTAGCCCCGAGGCCCGAATCCTGCATCGGATGGGTTTGGATCTTTGCCGTCCAGGGTTTAAGTCCCCCAATCGACCGGAATTGCATATGCTGTGGAAATTTCATAAATCAGTGCACGCCAGTACAGCCTACGCAGCTTAGTCAAGGCAGCCCCAGCAAGCGACCCCCAATTCCAAGACAGCACCCGGAAACTTACCGAGTGGCAAAAGCGCTGTTGAAATAAATGAAATTCCAGATCCTTCGAACTCTATTTGGTCCCTCACAGTAACCCCTTAAAACGAACCCGATGAAACCCTTATCTAATTCTTAACGCCCTGGCACTTTTTTTGCAGCACAGGAGTCAAACGATGAGGGCGAGTCCGAGGATGCAACGTCCTAAGAAGAGTGTCGGGGTTTGTCGTAGTATCTGATCAGTGTGACTTTACGAAGCTGTTCAGCTTCAGTAAAAGCTGTACTCGCTTTGTGTATCCCAGTGTATACCTATATACATAACTATCTCTATATATAAGCATGTGTGTGTATTTATTAAAGTCTACATCTATAAGACGATAGGCACATACGTAGGCGCATCTACAGGTATGTACGGTAAGAGAGAGGAGCTAATCTTGTTTCTCACCATGTAAGAGACTGTATATGAGAAGTGTATGTGCGGACGCGTATACGTATGTATGTATAGAAACATGTATGTCTCAAATGTCTGTCTGCTTGCCTGCCTGCCTGCCTGCTGCCGTCTGTCTGTCTGCATGTAGGTATGTACATATGTGCGCATGTATGTTTGCATGCATGGATGTACATATGTATGTGTGTGCATGTATGTATGTAATGTGTGTATGTATGTGCGCAGGCGGTGTATAGAAAGATAAATACGTGTGTGCATACATATTTATATATGTACAAGTGTGTCTGTCATGTCGGTACATACATATCTATACATATCTATACATATATATATATATATATACGAAGACATATATATATATATATGTATATATTTGTACATAGATATATGCACATGCATATTCTGCACTGCGTAGTTTGATGTTTGCAATGCTTCAGACAAAGGCTTAAAGGATGCATCCGAGGATTCCGGCTCTGAGTCGCGAGGCTCTGGAATTGTCTGAGGATCATGTAATTACCTGAAATCTGAACGGTTTAGGGTTGAAGGTTAGGGTTTTTTGAACTTAGACGGACGATCGGTTTGGGTTTGGACTTGTTGGAGTTTAGACTTCTGGTGTCTAGGGCTTAGCGCCTGGAGGGTGCAAAAGTGTGCAGGGTTGTACAAGGGTCTCCTATGAGCTGTATAGTTTAAGCACGGGCGAGACTTTTGCAATTTTGGAACTTACAGTTACGTGGATTCTTGCTAATTAATTCCGGAGTTTGTATGTTACACGTCGCCGGGATGTTTTGGCAATCTGTCGATTGCCTGACTTGTGTTTTCAATAGTTCAAGCTGGTTGTTGTCTCGGTGTCAATAGAAACTAAGGGGCACTTAGAAATAATTTGTAATTTTTGGTTATTATACTCCCTAAGAAACAGCTAAAATTGTAATTTTTGCTAGGGTTCTAAGTTCAGTATAGCAGACCCTGCACCTCAAACCCCTGAGCCGAAACCGTAGTCAGAAATCCCAAGCCCTTACGGCCTTACGACAAAGGAAATCATTTGTTCTGGGTCTCATCTACGGCCTGGGTTTGTGGCATAGTTGCCGCAAAAGAAGCAGATTTCGCTAGTCACAGGGGCCCGTTGATGAGGGAAGTAGGGCCGAGGCCTGGATTCAGGATTTAGCATCAATGCCGACGCGCTTACTGAAATTTTGCCGAACCGCAGGATACCCAGTAAGCACCCCAACTAGTTCCAAAATCCCTCACCCCTAATCTAATACCCTAAACACTTATGGAACCGTCATAAGACCCCGTTGACATTGGTTGAACCCAAGCCGAGAACCCACCTCTGAAACGCTACGCCACGAGCCTTGCCGATGATCCCAGAGACTCCAATATCCCTTAATTAAGGAATATACCTTAAATCATATAAGGGATCCTACCATAATTTAAGGAACATTCCTTAATTAAGGGATATTGGAGTCTCTGGGATCTGTTTTCCTGGATGATGACGCCGTCGATCGTGAGTCTCTAGAGGGCAACAGGAGAGACTGAAGCGATTAGAAGAGGGTAAATTAGGGGTACCTTATTCTGGGGTCCGTATCAGAAGGATCCTACTATATTAGGGTCCCCTATTTCTGGAAACTCCCATTAGAAGAGGGTTTTGTTTAGGGTTTGGAGTTTCGGGTTGCTTTGGAATTGGGCAGTAATGGCAGCATCAGCAGCAGGAACAACGGCAGCAAGAACCAAAGGTGTCTAGTTTTGCAGAGCTGTACAAGCAAATCTCGTGCATCAAACACTACAGGTCTCAACCATACTGTAGCAGCAGCAGCAGCAGTAGCAACCGCAGCAGGAAGGGCAGGAGTAAGAGTTGGACTGGGAGAAAGAGTAAAAGTAGAGGTGGTATAGCTAGTAGGTTAGTAGGAGTAGTAAGGGTAGTAGAAGTAGTAGAAGAAGTGGCGGTGGTAGAAGTAATAGGAGTTCCAGTACTGGGACTAGCAGTAGCTACCGCAGCAGCCCTCTCAATCTTGTACGGTTTAGGAGTTTAGGGTTTACTTAGGGGTACTTAGAAACTATTTTAAATTTTTTGGTTATTATAATCCCTAAGGAACAGCTAAAATTCTAAACTTTTGCTAGGGTTCTAAGTTCAGTATAGTTTAGGGTTTTCGAAACCCCAGTCTGACAGCGAAGCACGAAGAGAGCGACGGACGTCAATGTTGCGAGCCACAGGCTACCTGTGGATCTCCCATCTCCCCCAAGTCTCCTACCACGAAGGTCCCCAAGTTGCTGGGCTAACCCAGAAACCAGAGAGAACGACTTTGGTTTCGCAAAGGTTTCTTTCAGGGTTCTAAGGGGCCACTTACTCCTAAACCCTATAGGGAACTCCAGAAAGTTGGAATATGGATTAATGGTAGGATCCCCTATAATTTACCTTAAAGGGGTTACGATAATGATATTCCAACTTTCTGGCTTCTACTGTAAGCTCTAAGCCCTAAACCCTCCCCACGTTCTTTTCTTTGGAGCCAGATGTTTCTGAGTCAGATTGGAAGCATTCTTCGGTGCTGGAGGCCTTGGCTTAGAGCCAAATCCCTGAAAATAGACTTGGGTCTTCCGAAAGCCCTAAAACCCTCAACCCTAAGCCAAAAGAACTTACATGAAAGGTATACATCGAAGAAGAATGGTTATCAGGGTAACTTAAGCTTAGCCCCTCAGTGCCGCGGAGCTTTGAGTTTCTTGCGTTAACTAACATTAAGGGATTCTGGCTAGGTGTTTGGGAGTTTACAGGGGTTTGGGTCGATATGCTTCAGGTTTACCTTAGTTCAGGGGCTCTTTATATCAAGGGTCCCCTTGTGTAGTTCATATTGGGATCCCTTGTTCTCTGAAGCTCCCATTATACTACAAAAAACCCAAAATAGTATAGGTATTTATTCTGGGCCCTATTTTCATCATGGCAATATGAGTGCATAGCTCCTGCGTTGCTGCATGGTTACAAGCACCATCGGATACCCCAGGGATTCGCAGCACTCCGCTGAGTTTAGGGTTTAGGGTTTAGGGGTTTAGGGTTTAGGGGGAGAGCATACTACGTTTTGGGGTTGAGGGGTCGGGATTTAGGGTCTTGCGCGATTGGTGGTTTAGGGGTAAAGGCTTTAGGATTCAGGGTTTAGGCGGTTTAGGGAGTTCCCTAAACCCTCAACCCTAAGCCGGATTCGTGATGAGGGCCTTAGGGGTGCAAGGGTCGTTGGGATTCAACACCTTCCTCTCAGGTTTCTGCTAGGGGTTCCTAGTGGGTTCCCTAAAGGGTCACATTTATGGGCTTCTTCAAGGGGTTTTTTTTGTGAAAAGGGTCACATTTATGGGCTTCTTCAAGGGGTCTTCTGAGGGTCCTTTGAGTTCCTCTACTGGTTCGGTTATTGTTCAAGTCAGGGCGTTCTGGCAAGTTCGATTGCTTTAGGACTTGAGCCCGAACTTCGGCCTATGGACAACATTCGAACTCACACCGCAGCCTAAGCCGTAGCTGCAAGAAGGAACCTAGGACGAAGAGCCCATGGGATCGGCACAAGAGGAACCTTCGTGGTAGCTCCGAAGTTCTGGGAATGATTCCACTCCTCTGCGTGTAGGCTACGACGCTTCCTGTGCGAAACCCTTCCCCCCGGAACTCTAAATCCTAAGCTGTACAGCCTTAGAATCTTGAAAGTCTAGAGATTATCATAGGGGCCTTAGCCTATATTCTTTTGGGGGTTCCTTACTAAGAGCTTAACATAGGGGCCTTAATGATTGCATATATTATGTTGGTGGCTCCTTGTTTAAACTATAGTAACATGGGCCCCAAGATCCTACTCTAATGATTTTTTAAATTTTGGGGGGGTTCCTTCTTTAAGCTCTAGTATCAGGGGCCCCAAAACCCTATTCTACTTATTGAGGACCTTATACCTAGCATCACCCGGAAAAAAAGGCCATATTTTCTTTGTTTCCGACGGAATCCTTTCTGGGCGAAGAGCTAGCCGCTGCTGCCCAGAGTCCAAGCGTCTGTGGGCCCCGGCCAGCATCTTATGGGTTTGGGAGTTTAGGGTTTAGGGCACGAGTGTGGGAGTTTAGTTTTTTTACGAAAGGGGTCTAGGTAGTTATGGTTAGTTTTGTTACGAAAGGGGCCTAAGTAATTATGGTTAGTCTTTTACGAAAGGGGCCTACGTAATTATGGTTAGTTTTTTGCGAAAGGGGCCTAGGTAATTATGGTTGCATCCTACACCGCAAGCCGCGCAAGTCTGGTATTCAGCGCTTTTGCTAAGTACGACGGTTGACATCTTAGCCCCAAGCCCTCGACATTTAGCCCTGAAGCCCTACACCCTATAGGAAACTCCATAAAGTTGGAATATGGTTTCATGGTAGGATACCCTATAATTGACCATAGAAGGGTTAGGATAATCATATTCCAACTTTCCGGCTTTTACCTTAAACCCTAAACCCTAAACCCTAAACCCTAAACCCAAAGGAGCCCCTAGCCTTGATCCTGATACCCCAAGCTTGGGACCCGGCATAATGCGTCAACTTTAAAATGGGAGTTTCCGAAAATGAGGGGGTACCTTAAAAGGGATCTATAAGGGTGTACCTTAAAAGGGATCTATAAGGGTTCTATTTAGGGTTTAGAGTTTCCGAAAATGAGGGGGTACCTTAAAAGGGATCTATAAGGGTGTACCTTAAAAGGGATCTATACGGGTTCTATTTAGGGTTTAGAGTTTCCGAAAATGAGGGGTACCTTATTCTGGTGTCCTTGTAATAAGGAT